AAAAACAAACCAAACAAAACAAAACAAAACAAAACAAAACAAAACAAAACAAAACAAAACAAACACCGGAAAACAGAACAAAACAAACGAGTGCCAACGGAAACAGGCAACGATTGACTCAACTGATTTCCAAAGGGTTTTCCAAGAGCAATTGGTGCTCGGCGGTGGGGTCCCGGAAAAAGTACTTCCGACTTTCCCAAATGACTTGCCCGCTTTTCGTGGCCACACTTCTTTTCCAGCCGCCGGCCGGTGGGGTCCAAGCCTGAGAATTGTGAAGTCCTGTTTTTGTTTTTATATTTTATTGTTTCCCGTACCTCAGTTTTGAACTGTTGATTTGAAGTAATAAAACCTGTTTTCTCCGAGAAAAAAAGAAAAAAGAAGGATCATGCAAGCATCCCCAAAGTTGAGGTTTTGTAAAACAGGTCTGTCCTCCTTTTTGTGTGACACTGTATTTTTTGTTAATTAAATCATAATTGGATGCCATTGGTCAAGCTCTGAGGATGAGCATCACACAGAGGTGAGCTACAGGGGATTCGAGCACCTCATGGTGCTACCGTCTTCACCCGAATAGAACGCCCGGTCATTATCGCTGCACCTGGACTGAAAAGTGCCCCAAAAATACAGCTACACTGACAGGGCGTTCTATTCGGGTGAAGACGGTATTGCAAGGAAATGAGTAATGCGAATGACAATAAGCCAGATTGCAGCATTCCATAGAAATCCACATAACTTTGAGCCCAAACTGAATGCAGATTGCAAACCGAGATAACATGAAATAAGTACGAGCAAATCATTGAAGTCACATGATAATGAAAGCCCTCTCCTCGCCTCCAATCACCAAATTGAATGTCAACAATGTAGCCCTCCTACATTGGCGCTCGGAACCCAGACTACAGACAGACAGCTTCTATGACCTGCAGTGGACTCCTATGAACAACAGGTCCGGTATGAAGACCATCAGCCACTGGCAGGCGAACGCATGTGCTAGACTCCGATTGTACGGCCTGGTTCCACTTCACTAGCTGAGTGCCTTGTCACGCCGCTGCTCTCTCCCGGACTTCCTCGACAGTCTCCTCGCCCAAGGACCTCCACCTTCCTCCTCCGGCTATGGCTGCTGAGCCACTTGCTTCGCTGCGCCACGCAGTTTCCTCACGACCCGCCAGCGCTCTTCGTCCACCTCTCGACTGGCACTCATCCACAGGAGCTAGCACTCCAGCAGCGCTGCCGCATCCAGCCAGCCAGAATGTCCCCACTGAGCTCACTTCCTTTTGTGCTGGCTGGCTCGTGGTGTGACTGGAATGTCTGCAACCCCCGTCCCAGTAGCAGTGCCCTGAGCCCCTTCTAGGATCTGCACAGGGCTCTCAGCATCTTTGGCTGGGCGCCAAGGTCTTCAACCAACTGAAGGTTGAGCCCTACCAGTTGTTTGGAGATGCTGCGTGCAGCAACCAACCCACGGAGCCCTGTAACAGAGTTTTCCTCTCGCCATGGTCATACAGTCCTTTTTTTTTTTCTTTTTTTTTTCTTTTTTCTTTTTTTTTACAAGACAGGCTCCATCCATTGGTGGGGAGCAACACCTGCTGGAAACCGGGTCCAGCGTCCCTTGAATACATCATGATATTTATTGGTGCAGACTGGGAACCGGGCCCAGTGTCCCATTGAATGAAAAAAGAAATTCCTGAGAAGAGTCCAAAGCCGATCAGCTCATGAGACTAATTAGGCATCTATTGATGTAAAGATTTGCAGAACAAATTATTTTTTGGAACCGAAACTTATTGTAGTTTTTCAACTTGAAGACAATTAGGGATCTCATCAGCCTGCAGAAAACAAGACTCCCCACCTGTCACCCCAAACAGACTGACCCCTTGCCGACTGCCTGCCTCCACTGAAGGTCGACCCCCCAATCAACCCCAGCCCCAGAGTAGCGCAACCCTCAATTACTGCCCTTACCCCCTCAGATGCAGCACTTCCCTCCAATACGCTGCCGCCGCAGGATAAGGCTCCCTCCTCTCCCAATGATACCAGTAGTTCCAAACCAACCATCCACTCAAGAGCCTGTTCTTTATGACCTTTGAAGTCACCCTCTACCCCTCCCAAGAAATCCCAATACCTCTGCCTCCATCTGCCCCCGCCGGGCCCGGATCTTTGCCCCAAAAGATCAGTCCCAGCCCCAGAAGAAAGCGAACCCACGTGTCCGCCCCCTCTCCCTCAAGAAACCACATCTCCCTCCTTATGCAGTCCTTTCAGAGAGGGGCTCCCTCCACCCTGAAGAGAATGCTCCAAACCCAGACTCTTGTCCCACAGTCGATGAAGAATTGCCCGTATTATTGAAACGAAAAAAAAAAAGTGCAAAGCCGATAAAATCGTCACCTGTTTAGATCCTTTTTTGAAAATTTTGGGAGAAAATTGACACCAAGATTTAAAGTGACCGCCGGGCGAAACAGGACGGCTTTTCCAGTTGTTGGCTTCTCTGCAAGCGCCCCCTTCTACTCCTCCCCTCGCAATGAGCCGGCCTCCTCCACCACATAGTTCGCCAAAGGGAGGATAGAAGAAGGGTAAACTAGCAGACTGCCTTTACACTAAACCACCCCCCCACTACCACAAACTCCTATGACGGAGCTTGCACCCCTTGTCCCTATCTGCCTCCACTAGGGTAAGAAGGCGATCAACTCTTCAACCCCAGCCCCAGAGTAGAACAAGCCTCAAATCTGCCCCAGCCCCTCAAGAGCTGCCACCTCCCACGTTGTGGCGCTCCTGTAGGATAAGGCTCCCCAACCCCCTCCACGATCGCTAACTCTTATCATGCATTCCTAAAAGTCCCCCCTCTCTGCCTCGAGTGACAAGCCGACCTCCTCCACCACATAGTTCACTCGAGGAAGAACAGACTAAAGGCTGACTCCGAGGAACGCATTGTGTCACCCAATCAGCCCTCCTGCATCCCCCGGATTCAAACTTTTGTAGACAATCAAAAAATAAGGACATCGAAAGGTATGTGAACATTATTTGGAAGGCAAAAACAAAGCGTCCAACGGTCTCCGAAAAGAGCTTTCCCCAACCCACTTACCCTGTCCCACACTGCCACCGCCAAGGATGCATCACCTCGGCCTCAGCCTGGAAC